TATTCATTTATTTGTCTAACTGGAATTGATTGAGCACTTTCTCAGTGCTGAACACAGGGCTAAGTTCTGAGGATACAGAGGAAAACACAAGGAGGCCCCTGTCCTGAAGGTGCTCATGGTCTAGTAAAGAAAGCAGAAAAATCATTCCCCCAGGTGGGAGGGGTGCCTATGCTTCCATGTCAGGAGGGCCCAGTCCATTTCCAATGTTCTTCTTCCTGACCACATAGTCATTTTCCCAGCCTCCCTTGTAGCTAAGGATGGGCCTTACCTAGTTTTGGTCAATAGATACCTGAGGGCTGCTGAGAAGGGTCTGGAAAAACTCTTTGGATTAAAGGTGAAGCCATAAATGACACATGACTTTGTCCCTCTTGCTTGCCTTTGAAAAGGACTGTGATGGTGGCACAGTGGGATCATGGCAGCCATCTTGTGATCATGAGGTGATAAGCATCATCACCTTGTTGGCATCATCGAGCTGCTGCACCAAACCTGAAACTGCCCACCTTTGGGGACTCCTAGTTGGATGACATTATTACATGTCACTATTGCCTAAGGCAGTAGTTCTTGGCTGGGAGTGATTTGTCTTCTAGAGGATGTTTGGCAATGTCTAGAGATATTTTTAGTTCTCACTACTGGCATGGTGGTACTGCTGGCATCTAGTGGGTAGAGGCCAGGGTTGCTGCTGACAATCCTACAATACACAGGACAGCCCCACAACGAAGAATTATCTGCTCCAGACTGTCAATAAAGCCCAGGTGAGAAACCCTGGAATGAGCCATGTTAACCAAGTGCTTTCTTCATTGATGTAGAGGGTTGAGAGCCAAGCCAGAGAAGGGAAGGTGAACAAGCCAGTGTCCGCCTTAGGAGAGGGAATTATTCCAGTGTGCTTCACTCACGCAGCACTGTTAGGCTTGGAGCAGATCCCTTGAGAGAGGTGTGGACGCCAGTCCCTCACATGACACCTCATTGTGAGCTTTTCTAGACCTAATGCTACCACTGCCCAAGTGCTATGTGCCCTGGGCTAGGACCTCATGTGAATCACCTCCTTGAAGTTTCCCAGCAAGTCTGCAAGGTCGCCATCATTTAGTCCCATTGTACAGCTGTGAAAACTGTGGTTCAGGAAACAGTGGAGTGCCATGGTTAATATCAGGCTTTGGGGACTGACAGGTTTTAATCTGCCATTTAGCAGTGTCACTTAAGTGGTTTTTTTTTTTTTTTTGTCTTTTTGAGAGTCACTTTTCAGATCTTTACAATAACAGTATCTACTTTATAAATAGTATTATGGGGTAAAAATAAATAACGCATGTAAAAGCTCTTAGAACAGAGCCTGATATATAATGATATATAATTAAAAATGCAATATTAATAATAAAATTTCACAAATGGTTGCTGTTGTTTTACTATTACTAGTTTTTCCAACTGGGGGTGGGGAGCTGGGCTGCAGAGCAGCTCTGTCCAATGGCAAAGCTGTGCCAACAGGATGATCACCTGAGCTGCCCACTTGCAGGGGGGCCCGAGGAACAGCTGAGGGAGAGGACATTTTGGGAGCTACTGGGGGGAGAGAAGAAATCACTGAGGCAGGGGAATGTGGAAGGGAATTGAGATTCATCAAGGACTTCAGGCAAAAGACCTAAATTCAGCCATTTGCACAGGAAGGAAAAGAATATTCCGAGGTTACCTTCCAGCCAAGAGACTTTGGTCTTTGGTCCTGAACTGGCTAGAGAAGAAAAGATGAAGTCAGTCTTTCAGGAACCTCTCAGTGAGGAAAGGGAAGAGCACATCTTTCCAGGAAGCTCGGCGGGCTGGGAGGCCCAAACACAGGGTGGGGCTGGACCTTGAAACCGTGGATTCCAGGGAGAGGGTGGCCCTGGGAGGGGGCATGCTCACACACATGCCTTTTGCTCCTGAGTCACCAAAGGCACCTGTTCTCCTTTTCCGTAATGCAAATTCTCTTGTAGGGGCAGGGGCGGGTATCTGGGCATTGGGATTCCAAACTCACATGGGTTTGAGTGTGTCTTGTGAAAACTCTCCTAAATGTGTCACTCAAAGGCGCCCCACCCGTGGTTCCTGAGACTGGGACACTCTCTTCTACTGCCCCCTCTTTTTCTTAAAAACTTACAATAAATTAAATTTAATTAAAAAATTTTTTAATCACATGTACATCGCAGTGGTTCAGCAGTCTCCCTCTCCTCGCCCCCACCCACTCCCCTCCCCCTTGGTAACCCCTAGTCACTTCTCAGTGTCTATGAGTCTAATGCTGTCTGGTTCCTTCTGTTTTGCTTTGTTTTTATACTCCACAAATAACTGAAATCATATTCTACTGCCCCCTTTTAATTTAATGCCTCCACCTTTACTCAAGACCAAGTTTATCTTCTGTGACCCCCTGTTGTGTACCCAGGCCACGCAAGAGAATGAAGAATCTTTCTAGACAAATAAAGAGACTCTCAGGAAAAGGAAAAAGTCTCCATGTTGTGAATATCTCATTGCTTATTTACTCATTGTATTGTTAGGGGGCATTTAAGTAGTTCCAAGGTTTTGAGTTCTTGGCTATTACAGACAGTGCAGATATAAGCACTCATCCCTGCTGCTTGTGCGTGTGTTTCTGTCCTGTCTGTGTCTGGGTGGTGCTGGTCAGCTTTAGGAGATGTTGTTGCCTGGTTTTCCAAGGCAATGGCACCATTCTTCACTCCTCCTGCAGTGGGTCAGAGTTCTGGGTGCCCTGCTTCTCTCCGACACTTGTATTGTCAGTCTGAGAATTAACCACTACAGCTATGCACAGTGGCATGGCTGAATCTCACAAACATGGAATAGAGTGAAAAAGCCAGACCTAAAAGAATGCCGGCAGCCTGATTCCCATTTACGCAACACCTCCACACAGGCAAAAATGATCTAAGCTGTTAGAAGTCAGGAAAGTGGTACCCAAGAGAAGCACAAGGGGGCTGGCTTCTGGGGTGCTGATAATGTTCTGCTTCTTAATCTGGGTGCCGGTTACACGGGTTTATTCCCTTTATGAAAATTCATCAAGCTATACAATTAAGATTAGTGGATTTTTCTAAATGTTCTACCTATATAAAAATTTCAAAAAGTGTTCTCTCTCAGTCTCCTCTCTTGCTTCTTCTGTCACCTCTCCTCGCAACACTTGGTTGGGAGCTGTCCCCATCAGAGTCCCCTTGTGATTACGCAGCCTGGGCGGCTGCACGGGGCCCACGCTCAGAAAGGCCTGCAATTGGTTTCATGCTCTGTTGTCTCTGTGTTGAAATTCTTAACACTTTTTGAACAAGGCACCCTCCGTTGCCATTTGACACCGGGCCTCATGCATCAGGCAGCCAGTGTCTCATCACAGATCCCTGCTCAAGGCTTGGTCTTTGATGGGCATGGAGGACAGGGCTAGCTCACCCCTCTGCCTGGTAGAGAAGGTGTTCAATGCCCATGGTGTCCCCAGGATGGTTCTCTCTCCCGGGAAAACCTGGGATTGTACGTACCTGCAGTTTACTGGAATTACTGGGTCGTAGGGTAGGTTTGGGCACACAATGCCCCATGTGGCCCTCAGCCCTTGCTTTTCCATCTGCTTTTTAAAAAAATTGTGGCAAGATATGCATAAAATGGTATTTACCATTTTAACCATTTAAATCAGCAGCCTAGTGGCCTTAAATACATTCACATTATTGTACAACCTTCTCTACCATTCATCTTCCCAAATTAATACTCTATATCCATGCAAGAGGGGCTCCCCATTCCCTTCCACCTGCTCCTTATAATTTTTTCTGTATGTCTCTCTTCGCCACTGCACTGTGACCTCCATGTGGGTGGGTGGGGCTTATTTACCTCTGAATAAGGAGCGTGTATGATGCCCACAGGGTCTGGAGGATATGGTTAAGAACACAGTTTTGGTAAATAAATGAAAAATATGGCCTACAATTTAACTCTTGTTTGAAGCCTGAGTAAGCGCTTCAGTATTGAGACAGTGTCCAGCACATAGCTGGGTCCAAAACCTGTTTGCTGACAGACTGAACAAAGCATTAATGACTCTGCTACCAATTGTAAAATACTGGCCCTTTACTGGGCATGCACTGGATGCTAGACACCCCTAGTACTCAGAAAATACTTAGAAAAGTGCCTGGCACTCAATACATTTTCTTCTTTTCCTAATGAGCATTACCACATTTGGTCCTAACAATCAGCCTCTAAGGTGACCACTCAGTTTTTGAGTGAGAAACAAACTCAAAGACATGGTGTCCCCTGCCAGAGGTCACACTGTCCAGTCTGGGTGACTCCAAAGCTCAGTGATTTCAATATTCACTTTGCAAGGCCTGCCCATATCATTAAACAAAAGATGATTTCTGACATGTTTTGCTTTTGTTGACATAAAGCTAGTTTTTCTTTTCTGATCAAATACATGCACAAACTCTCTAAAAAATCCAGAAACTACAGAAAGTGAAAATGTGAATTTTTAAAATTCACATTTCTTAGAATGTTCTGTCAGGATTCACAGAGACCCTACCCAGGGGTAGTGGGGTTTGGAAAGCATGCCCCTTCTCAATTTCTCCTTCTGAGTTTTTCCTCCAGCTTAAGGAATGTATGTGTTGTACGCAATGACCTTTTTTTCTAGATCCTTCCCTCTTTGGAGTTCTTCAGAAAGCTGAGGGAGAGTGTGAAGGCAATACGAACTGCCCTTTTCTCCTTGTTCCATCCTCCTTTCTCAGAAGTCCTTGTTTTCTATTCCATGGGCTGGCTTTCCTCCAGCCAGGCCTAAGGTTGTTTTCTGAGCATTGGTTTCTTGTTGGGGTTGAGGTGTAATAAGGAAGTTGCCAAATGAAACTGTTGTTTTCCAGGGTAGCTGAGGTAAGCCTCCTATCACTGGAAGAGCAGAAAGCAGTCCTGGGATAGGCTGGGTCTGGCAGTGATGGTGAGAGGCCAGCACAGCCAGGCCCTCAGCTCTCAGGATTGGCTGTCATGAGCTAAGCTCCCGGAGTTATAAAACTTGACCAGAGCATCTTCAGAGACACTCTAGAAGCTTGTGGCAGGAATAGCATCATCTTCTCCCTGGGCTACCTACCCTCAGTGGACACAACTTTCAGCCTCTGCGGTGTCTGCCAACACCCAACACTGCGGGGGACGCCCGGCTCCGAGCCCCTGGGCTGGAGGTCCCGGCCACTGTGTCTGGGGACAGAGCGACTTTCGTGGTCTGAGGTTGGTTGAATGATACTCCTTTCTCAGGGGCCTGGAGCACTGGGTTGGTATTTTAGGGTCCTGAAAGGAGGAGAGACCCAGGAGTCAGACTCCAAGTCCAGGCCCAGTTGTGCTTCTGGCTTGCTGGGCCCTCCCTGGGCCTCAGTTTCTTCATCTCTTGAAAGAAAGATAGAGCATATTTCAGTGAAGTCATCTCAGCCAGTGCCATGCAAAAAGCACTGAACTTTGTACAGCTTTGAACTTTAGAAACTCTGAACCTCTTACTTCCCAGCCAGCAACCCTGAGCAGAAGTTTACTTCTCTGAGCCTCAGTTTCCTTATCTGTAGAATGGGGGCAACATCACATGCCTCTCCTGCTCATTTCCCTATTGGGTGTTGTCGGTCAAGTTATAGACTTTAAGTGAAGATACATAGTAAAGGGAAACCCCTTTTAAAGGGGAGGTGTTATTACTATCTATGCCTGGATTGAGGGTCTATAATTTAAAGGCTCTTGGAAATTCTAAAGACAGGGACATCTTTTGGGAAGAGCTTCTGGTGGCCTGCTGCTGTGACAGGTATCATACTGATTGCCCATGGTCTTGGGCAGAGGACAAGATGGGGTGGGGACGAGTGGGGGCAGCTGTGGGGTACAAACTCCAGTGCTGGATGGAGGGGAGCAGTGGCAGTTCTGGAGGTCTCTGGCTTTGTGAATAGGGACCACACTGCCACAGCCAGCCTACCCCACTGCTCTCTCACTGTGCCTGATGCCCCACCACTAGGGAGTTATTCTTTGGGTTTTGAAAGATCCTCAACAGGCACAAATCCTTGACCTTTTGGAAAATAGGCATCAGGTGATAAGTGTGTTTGGTGGTGACAATAAAGAACAGGCAGACAGTCCAAGTCCACCCCTTTATACTGAGCTGCAGGTTGGACCAGGCAGACCTGACCTTCCCGATGGCGCCATGTGGCCACTCAAATGCCTCCATGATTTGAGGCTTTGTGCAAAGATCCCAGAGGGCCCTGTTGCAATTGGGCCCTGGCTGGAGCCTCTGCAGGGGCCTGGGCCTTGGCCTTGCATTTTGACAAGGAGCAGCTGCGGAATGGCCAGGGAAGAGTGCCCAGGCAGGGAATGGCTGCAGAAGCATTGTAATTTGAGGAACAACCGAGAGACCTGGGCAATCGGGGTGGTGGACTGGAACAGAGAGGACTCAGGGGTGACATGACCTCCCTCAGGGCTGAGAAGGACTGCTACCAGCGACTTCAGCTGCATCTAAGGAAGGCTTTCTGCCTCAAAGGGTGGTGAGTGCCCATTGCAGGAAGGGTTTCAACAGGGGCTCCAAGCCTACAGGAGGTGGGGCTTCCAGCCCTAGGAACCTACCAAGGACCCCACAGAAGAGAAGCAATCCCTTGAATTGTCACCATAACATTTGAGAAGTGGGCAAGGGAGGAGGATGGGTCCAGTGTTGAGGGAAGAGATGACCAACTGTTAACCCTGCTTGATTCTGGCCAGGAAAGGTTGAGGGTCTGTTACCCAGGAAGCATCTTGCTACACTGCATGTGGGGAAATGTGAGCTGCATGTGGGACCCATACCATTGTGGGAGCCTAGGTTGAAGGCTTTGACCTTGGCCAGATACAGGGTTTGGAGTGTCCATGGGGCCTGGGCTGGTGAGAAGTAAATGTGAATTGAAGGGTACAGCAGCTGACCCTCCAGCCCACTGACTGGCTGCCAGCCCAGGAACATGTGATCCCTGCCCTGTGCTTACAGTCTCTGCCTCTGGGACACAGATGTCCTCCTAGGCACATGTGGATGTGTGACTCCGTGTGTACAAGTCATGGTGGGCATGTGTACAGGTGTGGTTAACTCTATCAGTGTGAAATAACAGGTGTGCTCATCTCTAAGTCCCTGTGTGCACATGTGTGTGTGTCAATATTTATGGGAGGCCACTTGGTGTAGGACACAGAAGAAAGGATTTAGAATCAAGAAGTGGGTCCAAGCCCCAACCGTCTCTGCTTCCCGGCTGTGGGGCCTTGGCTAAGCTTCCTAACCACTCAGAGCCTCAGTGTCCCACTGCCGGCCCATCTGGTTCACAGGGCCACGGCCAAGACAAAGCGAGATGATGCAGTTGAAAAGGTATTCTGGATATTGTGTGGCAGCACACAGGTGAGCTGGCTGTGTTTGTATATATCAGTGTACTGTTCACTTGCTCCACAAATGCTGAGAGCCTCTGAGGCAGCGTGGACATGGCAGGGACCCACGCAGGCTTGGGTCATCTCTCTGGAACTTGGAGTTAGACCGGGAGGGCAGATCGCAAATATACTCAGATAACTATTCCCTTGCACTTGGGGCGGGAAAAGTATAAGGTGTTGTGAACCTGTGTAGGTTAATGTGTGATGACTGTGTTACTGTAACACATGAGTGTCTCAGACTATTTGGGCTGCTGTAACAAATTGCCACTGATTGTTAGAGGCTAGAGCAATGAGTGCCTGTGCGTGTTGCCCCTTGGTCCACACGTCTGTGCCACACACTCTCTCCCAGAGCAGCCAGCTATTTGTTAAATATTTATGGTGTAAAGTTTAGGGGTGGAGAAGGGGAGGAACAAACGATCACTATGAAACTGGCAGCCCAGCTGTTACAGAGTAACACAGCTGTTAAACACGTTAGAGAATAGTGTATAGATGAGGTCAGGGTATCATTTAGAATATAAACCCAAAACAGCAACATACTTGGAAAAAATCAACAAAGTTTCGGCTCCACAATAGCTCAAGGTCAGCTCTGTGCTGTTTCTCTGGTGGTTTGTGGTTGTTTTTAAACAAGCCACTGATGTGTGTCACGTCTTACCAGAAGTCCTGTGATCTGTAGATCACTTGGGTCTTTCTGAGGAGATTTGTACTTTGCTCAGAAATTATTTGCCAAGGCAATAAATTGACAAGAGCAGCTGGGTTTCCACGAAGTGAGTGTCTGCTGCTGTCTCGGGGTGAGTGGTCTTCTCGGGGTGAGTGGTCTGGAAGCAAGTCCTGGCCTGGGTGGGCTTCCCTGACAGCCAGGCTGAGTGTGGGCCCACCTCCAGGCAAAGCAGAGCAGAAAGTAAGAAAAAAGAGGAAGGAAAGAGAAAGTCTTGCTTTGCTGAGTTCTGGATAGGCAGGATTTTACAACTGGCAAGTCTGGAAAGAATTCATTTCAGCACACATAGATGTTGGTGTGTGTGTGAGAGAAAACCCAGTCTTCTCAAGGCTTAGAGACTCCAGCGGTCTGAGGACCCACCGGCCAGGGAGGCTCTTCCAGTGTGTCTGGGCGGTTTGCCCTCCTCCGCCCGATGCGCTCTCTCAGCGTCCTGGGCTGGCGCTGGAAGACAGCATCTTTGGAACACTAGAGGGGAGCGCAGTCAGGGAGGAAGAGGACAGTGGCTGAGCTCCTGCCCACCTACCAGAGGGGAGAGAGCTGCGAGGAGAGCCGTGGAGGATGAGGAATGGGAAGAGGTCCCTGGATTTGGAATTAGGAGGCTCTCTTGGGAGAGCCTAGAGACTCTGCCCTGGGAAAACGCTCTTGGATCACTAAAGTGGCATGTCACCCACCCCCTGCTCCCCTGCCTGTGGGCTGCTCCCCCTGCTCCTCTCCTGGGTCTCCCTCACCTCCCTCTGGGCATGGGGTACTGTTGTTCCAGGGAGGGAATGGCCAAATCAAGGAGGTTTTCTTGAAAAGTCAAGGAAAACCCTTGTCTGGTGGAAGTGTACTGATGCTTTGATTAGAAGTAGCAACATGTCCTTTGAATGTAGTAGGAAGACCCTGCGACTATCAGCAAAGGTGAAAATGGTTCCTGTAGAAACGACAGCTTTTAAAAAGATTACTGCACCTCTTCTCCCATTGGCTGGGGAAGGACACTCTGGGCCTCCACACTACGGGCCCCCTTGAGCCAAATTACTGCAGGAAAAAGAGGGGCTGAGCTGAACAAGGGTGACCCGTGTGTTTGGCAGGTTTGGTGGTTTTGTTACGGAACAGCTTCTCTGCCAACCCCATCCAATCTGCCCTGAGCACAGGAATATATGGACAAAGCAGAGAGAACCCTGACACTGTTCAGTAAATACAGTTCATCTCACTTGGCTGAAAATTCTGGCTCAGCTTATTTGGACCTTAAAATGAAATAGACCTTCTACCTAAATTTATCTTCTCTTAAGACCGTGTGCTAGTAAAGAGAGAGCAGGCATCAGGGGGACAGAGCGCTCCTGTCATCACCATTCACTCACCTCCCACCCCTGTCCATTTGCCAAAGACTAGAACATTCTTGATGAGGGACAACCAACATCTTGTTCATTATTATTTCCCCAGCATCAAGCATAATTCCTGGTATACGGTTGGTACTTATTAAATGTTCATTGTAAGAAATAAATGAGAAGAAAGAAAAATATTTCCTTCTATGATTTCTTCTCCTCATCCCACCCCATACCATATTTTGGAGGCATGACTGTAATTCAGCCTCTGAGGCTTTAAGAATATTAGTCAACTTCCATATAAGGTACAAAGGTGTATTGCTAAAAGTTTTCATCTAACTCAGATGTTCCTTTGAAGGAAAATTAAACAACAAATAAAGCCTTCCAAAATACCTGCTTCCTTACTGGGCAGTTTTCTCATTTCCCCCAAGATTGTCCACATGTGGACCCACTACCAGTGCTGGTAGTACCCACTGGCCCCTGGCCATCTGCCCTAGTCCTTCCTTCCCAGAACACACTGAGAGAAGGCAAGTCCTCCTGAATGGTACTGTCACCTTCAAATGTCTCTTTATTTCCCCATGCCTTTTCTTTTCTCTTTTCATGTACCTTCCTCCCATTCACATGGATCCTTGTGCATCTGAAATTGCAATGATGATTCTTATTTTTACTTCTAAGCTGGACATAGCTAATAGAGTACATTTTAAAGTAATGAATCAGCTGGTACATGTAGGAGATATGATGTAAATACATAATATGTGGAGACATAATACAGTAAATAACACTTAGTAGATGCATGTTAAGGCTATAATTGCAAATTAGAGTAGACAATCCATGAATCTAAAGCCCATATGAAACTGGGAGCTCAGGTTTGGGATTCAAAACTATCTTTCATTTTTCTTTCAACTTCCACCATGGGGAAAAGGGTTGCTGGACACTGTGGACAAATTGGAAAGCCCTGGGAATTTCAAATTAAAGACACACAAAGTAAGTGCACTGCCCAGACCCAGCCTGCTTGAAATGCTGCCAAGAGGAGGTGGTTCTTTCATCTTTTCCTTGGGCAGCTGCTTCATTGTGGATGGACAACAGAAAGGCCTCTGCTGCTCTAAGATGGGACAGGTCCAGACAAGTTTACTGTACGTTAACTACACATTGGAAGATACCTTAGATATTGAACGGCTTACTGAATGTTTGTGTTACACATTTCTTCATTAGTTTAGTAAGTACTTCCTGAGTGCCAGTGATGTGCCAGGCATTGTTCTAGGCACTAAGAGTACAAGACCTAGCAAAACAGATAAAGGAGAGGGAGAGAGACTCAGACAACAAACAGGCACATAAATATGTGACACTGCATAACTTCAGGAGGTAAGGTAAAGGGGGAGAGGTTGTGCTGGTGCAGGGTGAACAAAGAGGGCCTCTCTGGGAAGGTGACACTTGAGTGGAGTCTTGAAGGAAGTGAGAGGACAAACCAAAAGATTGTCTAGGAGAGGTATGTTCCAAAAAAAATTCCTGAGACAAAGCAGGCCTGAGGGACAGTGAGTAGGGCTGTGTGAGTGACTCATGAGAGGTGACTGGAGAGGCCACAGAGCCTTGCTGGCCACTGTAAGGCCTTTAACTTTGACTAGGGCAAGGGGAGCCATTGGGGGCAGGAGGCTGATGTGCTCTAACTTATGCTGTGAAAGCCCCCAGGGGGCGGGGGGCAGTTTCTCCATGGATAGATCAGGGAGACTAATTAGGAGGAGATGGCAACAGCCCAGGTGAGCAGAGGGGGTGCCCAGACCCAGGTGGTGGTCGAGAAGGTGCATTGTCGTGGTGGAGGTCTGACGCCATTTGGAAGGCTTTGCTGATGGATCAGATGTGAGAGTGAGAGAAAGGAGTCAGGGATGACTGCCAGCTGGGCCTGAGCAATCGGAAGAACCCAGTTGCCATTTACTGCTCTTTATTGTCTTAACAGCCTGTGGGAGACAGGAAGGTGTGTCAGGCAGGTTTCAGAAAAGATAAATCAGCTTCCCAAAGTCCAGAGGGCAGGACTTGGCCTCTGGGTCCGGCTGTATTAGTTTCCTGTTACCATTATAATAAAATGCCACAAACCCAGTGGTTCTGGAATAACAAGGATTAGCTATCTTACAGTTCTGGTGGTCAGAAGTCCAAAATCGGTCTCCATGGACTAAACTGAGTCCGCTGGCAGGGCTGTGTTCCTTCTGGGGTCTCTGAGGAGCTATGCACTAGCTGTGAGATCTGGAGCTCAGTTTCCTTCTCTGGAGAATGTGGACAAGGACAGCCCTCCGTCCCAGGGCTGTTGAGGAATTTAAACGAGACAACAGCTCTGAGAGTCGTGTCACCCATGTTAGCGGGTTGGTTGGGTGGGTGCACCTGTCAGCCTGAGCCCACCTTGGCGGTCTCTGGTAGGCCTCTTCTAACAGAGCTGCTTGTTTTGGCTGTAGCATGACAGAGCATCCACGGTGCCCGAGGACGTCTCTCTCAGGGAGGAGAGCCAGGTCTCTGGACAGGTCACAGAATCCCCGGAAGGACTCGGAGTCGTGCGACTGCCACTGCCTTTCCCTACTCACGCCCCCCTCCAGGAGGGCGCTTCAGGGGACAGCCAGTGATGGGACCAGATGCCCCAAGAGCCCAGCTCAGTCAGCAGAGGCTCAGGGCACCACAGCCGCAGCCCTAAGCCTGGAGGGGCCCAGGGAGTTTCTCCCCAGCGAGCGCAGACCTCCACCGGACACCAAGAAGGACAAGGCCCAGAGGCGGGCCCAGCAGGGCTGGCTGAAGACTGTGCTGAACTTCGTCCTCAGGGTGGGCCCTGAGGAGCCTGAAGAAAAGGGCAGCAGGAGGGCGAAGGGGAAGGAGGGTTTCCCCCAGCCTGCAGAAACCCCCGAGTCACCGGGACAGCCAGCTTCCAGGAAAAAAGCCCACGACAAGAAGGATACCTGCAGGAAACACAGTCACAAGAAACAATGTGCCGACAAATCCCAGAGGGCCCAAGATCAGGAGGCTGAAGGTCAAGGGGCAGGGCTGCTCAGGATGGCTGCTGCCTCACTCTCCGTGCAGGCGCACCTGGGCCCAGCACCCTCGGGTGAGTGGACCACGCACATTTCTATGGCAACCCCATTGCCCCGCCCAGGGGCTAGGGTGCTCTGAGCTGGCTCTTCAAACCCCTCAATTGAGGGAGTGAAAGGTGGGGCAACTGTCAGGAATAAGACCACTGTGACATTTCTTTGGGGCAGAACAACACGGTGACTGAGACCTTGACGTCTCAGACAAATTTCACTACCTGTGTGACCTGGGGCTGGTGACTTTCCTCTCTGAGCCTAAAATATTTTCCATGGGGGTGCCATGGTTCAGAGCTGACACATGAAAATTGCTCCATAAATAAAGCGCTCTAATTTAGGGTACACAGACCTGGAAGAAATGGGAAGGCTGCAGGGAGGCGAGGAGGGAAGCCCTACCCGCACACTAGTACATATGTGAGGCCGGAGGTGGGTGCCTGGGAAGTAGAAAGAGCCAGCTTCGGGGTGCATTGGTCCATTGGGATCAACTTGTGTGACTTTGCATAAGTTGCTGCCCCTCTCTGGAACTTTCAATTCCCCATTTGTAAAATGAGGGAGCTGGTCCCCAAGGAGCCTTCCGTTTCTGACTCCTAGCCTCCTGGAGTTGAATGCCTCTCAGCTCCTGTGGGGAGGAGGAGCTTTGCCCTGTAGTGAGCGCTCAAAACTTACCATGTTCAATGTGGAGAAGAGACCAAGGGAGGTCCGGGGTACTTTGGAGGTCGGGGGGTAAGGATGTCTGGGTTGAGGCAGCCTCTTTTCAAATGGAAACCTTGGCAGGTTTCTGACTTTTGATTGGTCCTCAAACTACAGCAGAGTTTGTAATGTTTCACTGTGTTAATCAACCAAGTCAGAAGAATGTCACTGACACCCCCTTCCCCCCTCCACCACTTACTCTCACCTTTATTCCAGGGGGGGAGGATTCTGCTCTCCAGCAGTCCTTGCTCACCGAAGGAGGGGGTGTTGGAGTCCTGGAGGGTTCTTCCCAAGCCCCAGGTGACCAGTGGGAAGGGGAGCTCAAAAACCTTGACGGTGAGTTGAATCTACTCAGTGTCCTCATTGCCTGCAGCTGGAGCAGCTGTTGTGCATTGCTCTGGATGACTGCTTAGACCTTGACGGCCACTCTCAAGCTGTGTGTAC